ATTTCATGTATTACTATAACGTGTTTGCATACTTTGTATTTCTGTGTTGAGCCTGCATAATTTAAACCTAATTTAGTAAGCAGTTTAGCTTTAGTTTGTCTTGGAGAACATGCTCTCAGTATAAATGTCACACATGCTTTGCATGAATTCAAACTGTGTGACTGTCATCATTCATCTAGAATGATTGTACATCTGTCATGTTTTGAATAGAGTGCTTTTTTGTGTGTAGAGAATGACAGTGTTAAATTTTGAATTATTTTGTAACTGGTTTTGAAGAAAGAGATTCCTCACTGCAAAGCCTACGCTTGTTAAAATTATTTGTGGAAGGGCCCAGCCAACAGACATCCAATGAGATTTTTCTTTAGTACTATCAGTTACTTGCTGTTCTCTCCAACAGATGATTTTTCATGCTCAGTTTGTGAGGAAAAAAAGAGCCTAAATCTAAAATGTCTCTAAAGGGAACTCCTAAAGATTCTGATGAAAACTCAACTATCTATGAGATTTAGCTGAACTGTAGGGGAAGGAGTGCAGTCATGTCTGAATTAGCACCTGAATGCCTAAACTTCCAAACTAAACAGATAACTGGCATTTTACAGTATGTCAATAAATTGGAGTTTGGCTTCTAAGTTGGTTCAGAATCACTTGTGCTTGAAAGTGAAAGCTCAGCATCTTCACAGAACTATGTGCAGACATAGTAGGTTTTTAAAACCTTCATTCTTCTTATCATATTTAGCCTCAACTTTCTAACAATTGTAATTGTCCACAGAAAACACTTCAAGATAAATGCATTATCAGGTTTTGAAATTTTCTTATTTTTGTAAATACTAAGACCTGGGGATCAAAATAAGGGCTGTATTGTGGATTAAGTGAAATATCTCAAGGCTGTGCTTTTCTGATAACTGAACCTGAAGCGACCTTTCTCAGACACAATTACAGAGCTGTATGTTTTTCCTTTAATTTCATCAGGGGTTTAATTAGTATACAAATAAAACTTCCCTTATCTTCCTTCCTACCTAATTGGCTTGTCTTCGCTTATATATGAACAATGTGAAAATGGGCTGTAATTAGGGTGACCATGTTAACCTTTTTTTCTCAAATGTACTGTTGCCTAAAGGCCTCAAGGCCTAAAAACAGTGCTTTGGATTATTGCTTTGCAATCACTATGGCTCTCCCATAGGTTTTCTCATGAGCAGAAGGGCTTTGGGTGCTGCAGGTTCCCACTGCTTAACGGGATCTTCATTCTTCTCCCCACTAAATGTTTATTGATTATCTCACTGCTCCACACTCTGCCTCCAACAACTTAATATCAGGTGACAGTCAGGAGAGTTCTCCAAGTAATTAGAGTAGAGCATTGAGGGAACAATTAGGAGCAGAGTTATTAAACTTGATTTATCCTATTCTCTCCTGAACACTTTCTTAGATATCAGAACATCACGCTTTCACAATCTACCGTGGCTGAGAAATTAGTGGCTAACCTGCTGCTTATCATTGTTGCCTTGCTGCCTTGAGGCACACCCTCTTGGTTCCAGTCACTCAGCTGGAAATATTAGAGTCCATAAAGTTTATCAAGGGTTTTAATTAGATCAATCTGAAGAAGGAAAAAAAGAGAGGCTTAGCAGCCGTTACTTTAGAATCCTACACACTGTATTTGAGAAATTTCCGAAGCTTGACTTTAACCCACAGTAGCAAGGAGCTTCAAGTGAATGCTGAAACTGTTTTTAGAGAGCTAAAATCAGTTTACATTTTGCTTAGATATTGCAATATTATTGATAGGTAAGTCTGAATTTTGGTTTGGAGACTTCTGTAAATAATGGTGAAAGTTTTGAATATAATAACGCAGCTCTTCAGTGAGATATTTGATTTAATCATTTCTGTGTTGCTTTGTCACCAACTAGTATGGATTGCTCTCAAGGACTTAGGCTTCATGCTTTCATCCCTGTTATTGCCTTGTTAATAGGCCTGCCCTTGCAATTGGTAAGCAAGATTAGTTAGCAGCTCCCACAATATTTTGACACCTAGTGAGTCTCTTCACCATTTGTTGTCAGTGATGAAATCTTTATGCATGAACAGACAACTCTTCAGCCCCTATAGAAGGATAGCTATCTAATAAAGATGAAATAAGTGTGCATAATGTTTCTATTATCCTGTCTTTCTTCACTCAGACCACTAGAATCTTGGAGCCAGACTCTATTCCAGCAGCCTCTGCACCAAAAGTTGCTTGCATCAAAATATTATCATAATTATCTCTTGTCTGTTATATTATTTTCTATTCTACATCAGCCAGAGCTCAGTCCTTTGACTGCATCTTAAAAACAGATTTTTTCAATCAGATGGGAAAGTGGAGTGGACAAAGCACTGTCACCAAAGACATTGTTCTTTGCTCAATAAATTTTGTTTGTCAAAAGATGGGAGTGTGGGCAGGGCAGGACTTGACTCAGTTTTCAGAGCTGTTTCCTCAATGCTGATTTAGCCTAAAACAAACCAACAATAAACACAATAAATGGAAGAAGATAATGTTCTTTGTTCTTAAATTAAAAGACTTATTTTATCCTTGCTAATCCACATCTGGTTACTTGGAACTAACTTTTCTGAAAATCAGAGAATTCACAAATTCAGCTGTTCAGATATGACATTAGGGTAGCATTTCTGAAAGCAACACTTCTGCTTTTGGATATCTTTATGCTAATATGCAGTGGGAAAATAAGATCTGTGTGTTTATCTTTTCTTAGGTGGAAAACAGCATTCCTCATCAAAAATAATGACATAAAAGGCAGAATAGAGTTATGTGATGGGTTTACCCTTGGCTGGGAGCCAACCCCAGGTTACCTGTTTGCTCACCCTCCCCCCTCCTGGGGATGAGGGAGAGAATTAAAGGGGTAAAGGGAAAAAAAGGGACTCATGGGTTGAGATAAGAACAATTTAATAACTAAACTGCAATAATATTGAAAATAATATTATACACAAATATACAAATGAGTGATACACAGTGATACTGCTCACCACCCGATGACCAAGGCTCAGCCCGTTCCTGGCTAACGATCCCGGAGCAGGGAGAATCCTGAAACTGCACTCACGGAATGGAGATAACAGCCTGAGCGTCCCAGACTGAGAGCTGACTGAGGGAGGGAGAAGGCCCTGGCGGAGGGAACCACCCAGAGCAAGATGACACGGAGCAGAAGCAATCTGGAACAAAAAAAGGACGAGCTTCCAGAGGGCCCTCACCTATATACTGGGCATGACATCTATGTTATGGAATAGATTATTGGCCACTTTGGGTCTCAATCCTGAACCTAAGATTGAATCCCAGGCTAGTCATTGGGCTGTGCTCCTTCACAGCATCTCCTGCACCTGCGAACAGCAGAGAAGCTGAAAGACCTTGAATATCCTGGCAACAGCTATAAACTTCAGGATGCTATCAGTTTTCTTCTCAGCACAAATCCAAAACACAGCCTCACACTAGCTACTATGACGAAAGTTAACTCTGTCTCAGCTTAACCCAGGACAAGTTATTCAACCTGCAGTAATTTGGGCAAGACTGATATTAACATTTATGGGGTTTAGAGTTTCTTAAATAAACTCCTGATTTTTTTTTTTTTTTTTTCCTTACAGCAGTGATTAATCTCAGCCTGGATTTTGTAAATTTCTGAACTGAGAGTTCAGGTAGCGGTGCTGTACCTTCCAAACACACTGTTGAAATAACTGGTTCCTTTTTTGTCTTGGGAAATGTTTGAACAAAACTTATGCTAATCCACAGATTTCAGTTTATTCAGCAGGCTTATGCAGTTTTATGCTATACTTTATTATTTTATAGAAATTTTCTCTGGTATATTGTTTTTTGACGTGCCTTTTATTCTTGGCTAGGTCTGAAGCTTTTTCAGATTAGTTGAGTTTCCAGTGCCCTCCAGATTTTTATCAGCCTTTTGTATATACTGTTCTTAATACAGATCCACAGCATAATAAATATTTTCTGTGTTCCACAGTCCAGGTCAAGTACTCCTGAGTACAAATAACGCAGAGCATTCTTAGAATTTAAGCAGAAAACTTATCCATAAATTTTGAAAAAAAGGTGCAAGAGCTCAGTCTTGCAACTGTGCAGCCTTCTCTGTCCCTCTGTATTGGTTTAGAATCTGTCAGGGAATTTGCATTTTTTAAAAGAATGTTTATAGCCACCTATTATAATTTATTTCTAAAAAGGCAATTAGCAGCTGTAAGTAAAATATAACATTTAGCAAACTATGAAATTGCATTGTTAATACTCCAATCTATAAAAGTATTGATTTATCCCAGCGGAAGGGAGTAGCAACAAGCCAGGTTCTGTATTAATTAGTTCTGTGTGCTGTTTGTAATCTATTGCATTAATCTGAATTGATTTAAAGCATGTTGTATTAATTCTAAGCTGTAGAGAAACATTAAAATAAAATATACATACCATTTTGCATATTGGAAAACTAATGTTAAAGTAGTGAAAGCACCATAAAATGACAATTTATTCTTAGGAAGAATTGCAGAAAAACTGTACTTAATGCACTAAGAGAGAATATTAGATTCTTACTTTTTTTAAACCTGAAATTTCTGAATAGTGCAGAATAGTTAAATAATTGCTACTTTGTTAATTCTCTTTCTTTCTTTGTGAATTGTTTTCTTTAATGTTAAATTAAGTTTTGAGAATGTTCTGTTCTCTTTAATGCTGTACTCTTGATTATTTCCACTGTGTTTAGATCTCATATTTGTAAGTATGGTACCTGTAGCATAGTATATGTACCTGTTTGATCAACAAATCACTTTATTTTATGAACATATTTGTACATAGGCAGTATACTAAAAACTGAGGAGCTCTGAGTTAGTAATATTTGTAGTAGAGAATTCCTACAACCTTAATGTGTAATGGTCCAAATCTGCTTCGCAGTCAGTCTGTTTTCAGCTTTGTTTAATAGCCTATGGCATAAATTGAAGTTAATTATTTGGGCTGACAAGTAACTCTGCTTTCTGTCTGCTTGCAGAGACTCTCCGAGGCAAAGATGGAGCTGAGAAGAAAAGATCAATCTGTGCGTCAGCTCAATAGACTTCTTACCCAGCTGGAGCAGGACAAGCGTCGACTGAAAGAGAGCATCCATGATGCAGAGAGTGCCCTCTGCATGGCAGTGAAGTGAGTGCTGGGACCTTGGGGAGATCACATAAAACGTACAAAAGATCAATTTTTACTTTCATGCACAGGGTTTTAGCCCTGGCTAATGTAATGCTAGAAAACAAAAGTACATCTGTCTCTCTTTGAAATTCAGTGATAGTCTTCTAAAAAGAAAACTGTTAGTTTGAGATAATAGATGGTATGTTTTCTGTAGTTATCCCATAATAGTGCTCCAAATTCTGTGTCCTGATATACCATGCGCATTTTTGTTTGCTGATTATATTACTGATTTGACAACATCTCTTTGTCAGATCCCTAACACTCTGTTAATTTAAGAAATGGCTGCTTGTTTTTTCTATTTCCACATCATCTTTTTATAGAGAGATACAATTTATTCATAATAAATATGGAAACGTCAGCTAGCTGATAGGTCTTAGTTGCCAAAGGGGCTAAAACCCATTTTAGACCTAGTCTTATCTGTGAAAATTTTGGATTTAGACATAAAACCCATGCCTTTTTATACCGCAACCTAGACAGTGGAAGGAAATGTTCAGGGACCAATCTTGAAAAGATTGTTAGTCAAAAAGGTGTTCCGTTGACTTGAATGAGATTATTAATAACCACTTACAGTCATATCGTCAGCTAAAAAGATAAATCTTTGCAGATCCTGTTATCTGTTACTCTTATTGTAGTATGTACTTTGAATATTGTTGGTCCATGGCTAAGATTTTTTAAAAGTTTCATTTAAAAGTGAAATTTCTCATTATACCTGGGATAAATTTGACCTCTTAAGAAGCTTTAACAGTTTTATGCACAAGTGAAATAATTTAGTTATCAGTGAAATGTCTAACAAACTAATTAAAATGACAATTGTTATTTGGAATGAATGTATTAAAGCAGATGTGACCTGAAGAAAGATTTGTTTGGGAAAGCTTGCCCCTTTTCACCCTGCCTCAACCTGTTTTATGCATTCTAGTAAAGATCATTCCCTGTGGCCCTTCTTATATTCAGAAAAGGTTATTTTAACATCAAGTGCCTGATTTTTTTCTGTATATATAGCAGTTGAATATTGACAAAGAAAAAACCTATACCATTTATTTGTTCTACCAGCTCTCCATAACAAATGCCTTTTATTCCCTTTGGAACACGTAAGCAAAGTAGGTGAAATAGACTCAACTTTTGTCCAGAAATTCTTACTTTAATACCTCTTCCATAACCTGAGTGATTGTAAGCAATGCATGGGTGTCTTTCATGTTCTTTCCTAATCTTTTGTACAGCTTTAAAGGATAGCAAGATGGCTGGCTCATTCTGAGAATGGCTGTGTTGATTTTCTTGCAGTGGTGGCCAGCAGTTCTATTCTGCTTTCCTCCAGAGTAGGAAGCACTATTAATAAAATTGTCTAATGGCAGTGAACCTGGCAGAAATTTAGTAGCCTTTTGGTTATTTCTCTGCTAGATAGAAACTCTCTATTAAACCTTCATGCCAGCTGTTGGGTAAAAGATGATGTAAAGTATGTTCCTCATGCCTGAACTACATTTCTGGATAATAATCCTAAAGAATAGTTCTATGATCCGATTCCCCTTATGCCTGTAGAAGTTAATGAATATATGAAGTAAAGATTGAATGAAATGTGGATCCTGGCATGTAGGGGTGCAATAGGTTCATTTTTGTAAACTTTTTTCCAAGGTGCTATAAACAACTATTTCCATACTTTCATTTTAAGATGTTATCTAAGATAACAAATCCTCTGTAGTTAGAGGGCTTTCTCTTCACAAAAATAAGAACCTGGGGGCCATCTATTAAGCTGGGTCCAAAATTACATCTAAAAATACTTTCCTTTTTATGGTGAACATCTGAGAATATGCGAGGAACAGACTGACTTCTGTGTTGGTAATTGACTTAGAAATTAATGGTGTTGAACTGAATCTCTAGAAGTGACTTTACCCAGGCAAATAGTAGCTGTTACATAAATGAGGTCAGCAGGCAAGGTAAACAAAGCGTTGACGTCCCTGTCAATCTAATCCAAAGAAAGACAGGATACCAAAAAGTGAAAAATCTATATGACAGCTTTGCTAGGAGTGTAAAAGCCATTCCTACTTTTCTGGCCACTTTCCCATGTTTGCTGTTAGGGTAGAATCAAGAAATGAGGAAGCAGCGGTCATTCCAGGCAGGAGAATGCCATGGTTTTTACTTCTGTTTTAGGAACTGTAGGAGCTCAAACAAAATATTCACACAGCAAGCAAGACAGTCCTGGAATATTAAGGTGTATCACCTTTTCTGGCATAGGTTCCCTTTGATTTCCTGTGGTGTTTTGTTGGTCATAGTCTTGTTCTCCTAGGTCATAATGGTATTGTGCAACTTTAATTCAGTTTCTGTCAATGCATCAGATAAGACCAAGGTTTTTTTATGGCAGCATAACTGAGCAAAGACGTCTTTCTTACTGAAGCCCTAATCAACAAAAAGGCATGAGAGTAGTAATTCGTTCTTCTAACTACTCTTTTGTAAAGATAGTATCCGTGACTGGACTTCCTTTGGAGAAGGACCAGTGGAATGTTCAGATTTAGAGAAGACAGGGACACTTATATGCATATAAGTACATAGTTGTTAGGCTCATACAATTTGTGAAAAATGTAGAATTTGACAGTGTTTTCCAGTATGAGAATATATCTTCCTGCTAGAGCCTAGACTCCATTCAACGTGCCCTTCTTATTCAAGACTGTGGATTTCCTCACCAAGAACATGATAGTTGTTCATTGATATGCCTATAAATATGGCTAGTTTAATTGCTTATCCACAACAGAAGCATCTTTCATATGGAAATATGCCAAGTAGTGGTTCATGAACTATTTTTTAGGGTTTGCATTGGAGATATAAAAAGGAGAGATACAAACATAACAGTTTGAGTTATCAACAGTTATTTTAAAATACATTATGATTATAAAGTAGAAGAAAATTCATTTCTACATCAGTAGAACTTCAGTTCTATTAACTACTCTTTTTTTTTTTTTCCTCTTGTAATAGAGACAAAGAGTTGATTATTAGTCATATGAAATCTGTGGAAGCCACTCTTCATAAGGTAAGAATTTGAAGTGTTCCCTCTGCATTTGTGTTTCCAAACACATTGAGGTTTTACAACTACTTATTCTCAGGGAAGATGAGGAGCAGAAGTTGTTGTAAAGCAACTTTCTTTCACTAGAGTTTAAGTTTCTGCCTTCAGTGTCTTTGATCTCCAAAACCTATTCATATTTAGTGAAATAAAATGCAATTTTGTAGTACGTGGACTTAATATAAAACTTATTACAAAATTCACCTTCCTTCCCTCAATCACTGAGCACCATTTTTGGTTACCAAGTGAAGACTATTGATCATCCAAACAGTTCGTAATTGCTTCTGAGCTAACTCTCTCCACTGAATAAAGCGGAGGTTATCTGATGAGGTCGCATACATGGTGGCTGAAGACATTTGGCTTTGTGCATGCTAATTTAATCTTTGATATATGATAAATAAAATAAGGAAAAGTGAGCAAATATTAACCTGTAATGACAAACTTTAATGATATTTTTAAATGCCTTTTTTAAGTTGAGTAATTATCTTAAGTTGCCTCTAGGACTTGTACTACTTTGCCCTGGTATAATATTCTTTGAAGGTCCAACAAAGCTGCATATGTTAATTATTTGGGAGAAAGGCTGTTTTTAAGTGTAGCTCTAGAGGCTGATCGTTTTATAACTCTTTTTAGTCCAGAGCAAAAGAAGTGTTTCTATTACCTTGGAGTGTTTGTTTCACTTATCAAATCTTGAATTCCCAGCAACATAGGAATCTATTGCTTTTGGTTTCGGTGTCCAACAAAACTGCTGTTAGTTGAATTTTTATGTACCTTATTCAAGTTTCTCTTTCCTTTTAATGTTCACAGAAACTGGCAGTACCTAAACTGTGTGTTTTATTTGCAGCAGACTGCTGATAGGTAATGTCTTTCTTTGTGTCCCTGTCTTCTTCATACTGGCTTCTTTTAAGCTTGGTAGATCTATGTAAAGCAGAAAGTGCTGTGTTTTTACAGTAACATGGGCATGTAATGTCTTTGGCATCGAGAATTTATTGTTCTGGATTGCAAGTTTACATTTGGATGTAGAAAGCAGCGCTTTACATGCACAAGGATTAAAATGATTTGAGGAAAGGTTATAGGGAAGGTCACATGCTTAGTACTAATTTTCCTGATGCAGTGAATGGATCAAGAAAGGGCCATCTTTCTTTGAGAATTTTAGTTACCACACCTGCTTGTTGGTTCTTGATGTACATAGTTGTTAGGCCCATATAGCTTATTATTGAGTATAGAATCATAGAATGTTTTGCGTTGGAAGGGACCTTAAGATCATTTAGTTGCAACTGCCCTACCACGGGCAGGGACACCTCCCACTAGACCAGGTTCCTCAAAGCCTCATCCAGCGTGGCCTTGAACACCTCCAGGGATGGGGCATCCACAACTTCCCTGCACCGCCTGTTCCCGAGCCTCACCACCCTCACAGCAAAAAATTTCTTCCTAATACCTAATCTAAATCCACCCTCTTTCAGCTTGAAGCCGTTATCCCTCATCCTACCACTACACCCCCTGATGAAGAGTGTTTCCCCATCTCTTCTGTAGGCCCCCTTTAGGTACTGGAAGGCTAGCTATGAGGTCTCACCAGTGCCTTCTCTTCTCCAGGCTGAACAACCCTAACTCTCAGAGTCTGTCCTCGTATGGGAGGTGCTCCAGCCCTATGATCATCTTTGTGCCTCTACTCTGGACTTGCTCTAACGGCTCGACATCCTTCTTGTGTTGAGGGGCCCAGACATGGACACAGTACTCCACGTGGGGTCTCATGAGAGTGTAGCGGGGGGGAGAATCACCTCCCTTGACCTGCTGGTCACACTTGTTTTGATGCAGCCCAGGACACAGTTGGCTTTCTGGGTTGCAAGTGCGCATTGCCAGGTCATGTTGAGCTTTCATCTACCAGCACCCCCAAGTCCTTCTCCTCAGGGCTGCTCTCAATCCATTTTCCGCCCAACCTGTATTTGTGCTTGAGATTGCCCCAACCCAGGTGCAACCTAAAGAATGAAGAAAACATAAGAATTAGAAATGTCAGGGTGCTCCTTTCAGCAG